TGCAATGTTCTACAACACAGCTCTCCCTGATCTAGAGAGTTGGTTGTGTGTGTGAGAGAGAGAAAGAGAGAGAGACAGACAGACAGACAGACAGAGACAGAGACAGACAGACAGAGAGCTAGAATTTCAACATTATATCCTCTGATATTATCCAGAATCAGTTTCTAAAATGGTCATATGAAGAACACATCAATTTTACTAAAACCCCATACTGACAATGCTCATGGGCTTTTTTGTTTTTTTGGGTTTTTTTGGTTTTTGAGAGTCGTGAGGCTTGAACTCAGGGCCTGGGCGCTGTCCCTCAGCTCTTCAGCTCAAGGCTGGCGCTCTACCACTTGAGCCACAGCACCACTTCCGGGAGATCAGAGTCTCACGGTCTCTCCTGCCCGGGCTGGCTTTGAACCACAATCCTCAGCTCTCAGCCTCCTGAGTGGCTGGGATGACAGGCGTGAGCACCCGCGCCCGGCGACCTTGATTTTTCTTCCCAGCATGATAACCCCTGCCCTTCCCTTCTTTGCCTCAGCCATGTGATCCTTTAGTTAACCACGTCCGTTCATTTTGAAAGGCTCCATTTGGATTCTCTCTGTGTCTCGTTTGACGTTCTTCCCCGGCACGTCCAGCCTCATTCTGGAAAGTACACGCGATGGCAGCAGTCCAGCAGAGAGCACACAGATGATAACAGAACAATAGAATATGGCGTCCAGCTGCCGAGCGAGGTCCCTCTGCACGGCGGCGTCCCCTCCTGGGGAGCGGGGCCTGAGACTCAGCTTCCTGCTGCCTTTCCCAAGAAACGGCACTGCACACCCGAGCACCCCGTTGATGGACACCCCCAGACCCCATTCCCTGGCCTCCGGTCCCCTCCAGCCCATAGTCCCCGAGGGAAGGGTAGGAGCCAAAAGGACCCGGTGGATCTGGGATCACCTGCCATGAGCTTCCCATGATCCCCCCCTGCCCCTGCTCCCTGCCCCCGCCCTCCCTTAGCTGCTGCCTTGCTCTGAGCCTAAGTGGATCTCGGAATCTGCTTCCCCAATGGGGTCTTACGGGCTGCCCATGAATGCATCTGTTTGCCTGTGAAGGAATGGGTAAGCTGAAGTCCTCACCGTCTTCTCCTGAGGGGGACAAACCAGACCCCACAACGCCAGCCACTCCCCGAAACGGCTGCTCTCAACGCTCTGACCAGAGCGGGCAAAACTAATCCTCAAGCCGGGCACCGGTGGCTCCCGCCTGTCATCCCAGCGACTCAGGAGGCTGAGATCGGAGGATTGCGGTTCAAAGCCAGCCTGGGCAGGAAAGCCCGTGAGAGTCTGATCTCCAGTGAAACCATCAGAAAACCAGAACTGGCGCTGTGGCTCAAGTGGTAGAGCGCTCGCCTTGAGCTGAAGAGCTGAGGGACAGCGCCCAGGCCCTGAGTTCAAGCCCCACGGCCAACAAAAAAAAAAAAAATGTAGCAGACGCTGCGTGAACTGGCATGGATTTGATGGACTGGCGCCCCACCCATGTCTGTGCCTCGGGCTGACAGAGAACATGAGCAGCAGGGCTTCACCCACACAGGTGGACAGTGAGCGAGAAATGAGCGCCGGTGCTGACCGATGGACATCAAGGTCAAAGCTTCTCAGATGGTCAAGGTCAAAGGCCCGGCCTTCCCACGCACGCTGCCCCATGGATGGATACCCAGAGTCCCTCTCCACACGCTGGCTCTTCTGTTGTTGTTTTTGGAAAAGGAAAAAAAAAAAAACGCTTCCTTCCAAGAGTTTCCCCCTCCCGGTGAGTATCTGTGCTCGGGACTGTGAGTCCCTGGACACAAGACAGTGGCTTTGTCCAGCTTGGAGATTTCCTCCATCCCCGCCCCATGTTCCCTTTTGTCTCTCCGGACCCTTCCCGGGTTAGGATCCAAGAGATCCTGGGGATGTGTGTGGTGTGTTTCCTTCATCACCACCACCCCACTGCTGGAATGCTGCTGTCTGCAAATGTTCTTGCTTTAGTTACTTCCTGGATCTATGAAGAAGGCAAGAAAAACACCACCGGGCCCCAGGCCGACGCCACCCGCAGATCGATCGCCCGTCCCTCTCTCCCTGCAGGAAACCAGAGCTGAGCTAAGCCCCATCGCCCGCCTCGGCATCCTACTCAAAATACCAACTTCCATCCTGTCTGTCTGTCTGTCTGTCTGCTTCCAAGATCCCCCTGGAAGGCCAAGGCCCAGCCAGAGTGTCAGGAAGTACGGCCATGGGGTGAACCCCACAGAAGAGTTCTAGAAAAAAAAAAAGGCCCACCTGAGTTGAGGCTGGGACCCAGACGCACCAGGAGAATGTTTCCTGTATCCCCCCAGGGTCTGGAATTGGCCTCACGGCTCAGCCTTGTCCAGTCACCTACCCCTTCCCCCCCCCACACACACACCCCACCTCACAGGGAAGAACCCTGCTCTGCAGACACAAGCTCCAATCCCTGCCTGGGTCTCTCCATTCTTCCAGGCCCCCCATGAATGGACTTCCTGGGGGGTCTGTACCTTACAGCCTCCCCCAAACTCAACACACAGGCCTGGCTGCGTGATTGGCCAGGAAAGACGTTGACTAGGAATTGAGGTTACACAGAAAAATACTTGAGGGAAACACAAACACACACACACACACACACACACACTAACTCCTGCATTGGCAGAGTCCTCCTTAGGAACCATGAGGATATCATAAAGACGTTTGCACATCCCTGTTCATTACTGCATGAGTCACAACCGCCGAACAAGGAAACAGCCCAGGTGCCCTACAGCCAACCACTGAATCCAGAAAATGTAGCACAAATACACAGTGGAATAGTATTCGGCCATAAGGAATGAAATTTGCAGGGAAACGGATGGACCTGGAAAACAGCATATTGAGCAAACTAAGCCAAGCTAAGGGTATGTGGATGTTGGGAATAAAATATAAACGTAGGTGTAGAAATGTGTGTGTGTGTGTGTGTGTGTGTGTGTGTGTGTGTGTGTGTGTGTGAGCTCACCCGAGGCTGAGACTTGGATCGTGTTGATAGGAGAAAGGAAATATCAATTGAGGAGGAAGAGCTCTGCTCAGAACAAAATGGTATCCCAACAAAGATGGCGCCCAAAACAAAGATGGCGCCCAAAACAAAGATGGCGCCCAAAACAAAGATGGCGCCCAAAACAAAGATGGCTCCTACATTTCAGGGCTGTGGTATTAGGCCCGTGAGGCCTTATGGCTAGAAGATGAAGAATGACACAGCAGTGCAAATGAAGGAGAAAAGATTGGCAGACACAGGAGGCGTGTGATTCAGTCAGATGGATGTTTCATTGGAAAATGTTAGCTGCAGAGTAGGCGTCTGTCTACCCTCTGT